CTCATGGCTCTCTGTCCTCTTTAAATGCAGCTTTCCATCCAGCCTGCACGCCTCAGATTCTCTAGCAGGCAGGAGTGTGAAGGCCTGAGCTGCTCAGTGCATGAATGAGACCCTGATGCCACCTGCTGGACACCTGCCTTCGCTCCACATCCCATCACAGAGCTCACCAAAGGCTCCTCACAGAGGACTACCCTGCAAAGCACAGTCCCTGCACACTAGTCCTGCTGCCTGCAGCACAGGCACGGAGGGGGCCGCAATGAACTATGTTAAAAGTGGACGTATATAAAAGGGTTGGGTTTAAACTAGAACTGTTCCAAGGCGTGAACTGCCACCCGGCTCTGTCTGAAGATGTTCTAGCATGGGGAAGGGAAGGGCAGCAGTGTAGAGCCAGAATGCAGGGCTCAGCACCACCAGAAACACAGTCTGAGAGCAGCATACTCTCCCTGTTAATACTGACTAACAAGCTAAGGCACAGGGGTCAAGACAGCTTCAAACAAGAGCAGCACCTGAATAGGTCAGAGCTGCCTTGCTTTGGCTAGAGAGAGGTTTATAATGAAATCATAGAAAAAGGCAGAATGCAAATGGAAAAGCTATAGTGTAACAGTGAGATTGGAAGGGTGCAAGATTTGCCTTCAATTTCTTTGAAGACACCAGACTTCTGCCTGCTCAGCAGAAGTCAATGGGGAGCCTGGCAGGGAGCTTGGTAAAGGCAAACACTCTCTGAATGACGAGTCAGACATTCTGTCCCCAAACAGGGACACAGCACTAGTGCTCTAGGTTCCTAATGGGAAGTGGCTCTATCATCCCATTAATGGCATCTCAAAAGTTGCTCTGAAAACAGCCACTAGCTCCAGTACATCCCAGAAGCAAGAAAGCAGCAGTACCTTGGTCTTTAGATCATAGCGTTCCTCCTTGTGCGTGCCACTGTCCACCACATGGACAATGTCATTGATGGTGATGGAGGTCTCAGCGATGTTGGTAGCCAGGACAATCTTCCTGACGCCAGGTGGAGGCCTCTGGAAGATGTTTTGCTGGTCCATCATGGGGATGTTGGAGTGCACTAGGAAGTAAAATTAGAGTCAGTCCTGCTCAGCTGTGCTACTTTGCAGTACAAGGCCAAGGTAAAAGCAAGGGCTGAGAATCTCTGCCTTCTTGTACCATCACCTCCTGCTTCCAGAAATGGGGGATAAAAATGAGGACACCACTTCTAAGCATTCATTGTCAGCAGTTTCCTGCCAGCCAGACCCCAGGAAAAATCTGGCACATATCATTTGGGAAAGCTCCATTTCAGTTGCTTCAAACTATGGCTCAACATTAGCAGGAGCCACAATCATCTCCCATCCAAGAGAGGCCAACAGAACCACCAGAACATCCCTGGGCCCCATGCAGAAGGCCTGCTCCCTCCCACAGTCCAGTTCCACAGCTCTCCCTTTTCAAAAGACCTAGTGGGCAAGGGAGTGGGGTGTCCTATAATCATTTGGTTTCACGTGGCCAAGAATGGTTATCAGCAAGGGCCTGTAACTATCCTACATCACATATTTGCCCTATTACAAAGCAGTAATGCGGTGAAATTCCCAGCAGCCACAGAGACAGCAAGGCAGTTTTCAATAAAGAACACCTGCATTTATTAGCAACTGAGCTGCTCAAAGTTGTGCTCCTGGTTGGCCTCATTTGACATTGAAGAGGGAGGACAAAACCCAAAGAAACCAACCCCCAAATTCTTACAGCCTTGCAGAGCAATATTGCCTTTTGTTTTAAAATTTTCCTCCTGGGATAATGAATATTAAATTCACTAACCTAAGTTGACCTACAGAGTACATCTCCATCCCACAGAACAGGTCTTGATAATCTTTGTAGGCTCAGCATGCAGCTACAGCAAGGCAGAATTTGGCAGTTTCCTCCTTGCCTAATTCTGAATTGCTGGTGGCAAACAGGAAGCTGGTTTCTTTGATCACATACAGGTTTGGATGGCCTCTGCTGGGAGCAGTTACTTGTGCTTGACATGCACAATTACACAACAGGTACATACATAAGAGCATACAAGCTCACTGTGCAGCAGAGTACAACAACTGAAGGGGCTCGTCAAGTCAACTGGCCTATCTATTCTGAATCCTGGAGAAGAAAGGTCTGGCCCTGCCATCTCACCTGGTAAGACAAGGTACCGGCTGTTCTGAGACCCGAGCATCTCGAGCAGGCGCTGCTGCACTCCTTTGATTTCCTGCCAGCCAGGGAGGAAGCAGAGGATCCCACCTGAAACAGAGCAAGAGCTAAGAACAAGCAACCTAGAAATCCAAGTGCTCTTCCCCAGCTGAAGACAAAGAAACAGCTTCTGCTGCACAAAAGAGACACCCACTATTTGCCCAAGTCCACAGCAATCTTTAGCCCAAGAAACCCAAAGAAAAGCAGGGCCCTGGTCTGTGATGCTTCCTACCAGCTGATCTCTAAGGAAACTTGCATTATCCTTACTGTGAACAAATGACAGCATCCTGACCTGTATCAGAAATAGTATGGCCAGCAGCACTAGGGAATTAATAATCCCCTTGTAGTCAGCACTGGAGAGGCCACACTTCGAATACTCTGTTCAATTCTGGGCCACTCACTACAAAAGAGACACTGAGGTGCTGGAGCAGATCCAGAGAGCAAAGAAGCTGGTGAAGGGCCTGGAGCACAAGTCTTACGAGGAACAGCTGAGGGAACTGGGGTTGTTTAATCTGGAGAAGGCTCAATGGGGACCTTATTCCTCTCTACAACTACCTGAAAGTAGGACAAGAGGTAATGGCCTCGAGCTGCACCAGGGGAGGTTTAGATTGGATATTGGGAAACATCTCTTCACCAAAAGGGTCATGCTGGAATCACTGCCTCTGGCAATGCTCAAAAAACATGTAGATGAAGCCCTCAGTGACATGATTAGTGGTGGACTTGGCAGTCTTAGGGTAACGGCTGGACTTCATGACCTTAAAAGATCTTTTCCAACCTAGTTGATCCTATGATGACAGATCCAGACATCATACGAAATGAGACCCAGGGGAACATTTGTCTAGACTTCATACTTGCTATGCTGTATCTACTTCTGTGAGCTCATCAGGACAAGGTTTTACAGCCAGAAAGGAACCAAGCCATAGGTAGTTTGAGAGGCAATATCTACTGCCTTTGAAATACTTAAAACTCTTAGAACTCATCCGACAGTCATCCTGCCTTCTTCACAAAAACCTCCCAGACAAAGATGTTTAACAGGGATGGGTCTCCAATACAGAAAAAATAACTAAATTGCACAGCACAAGGTTGCAAATGCTGGAGCACAGACAAGTCTTGCCCTTCTTCCCCCATCCTCCCAGAACAGCTGCATCTTGGGACACTAGCACTGGGGACCCAGATGTTGTCTTAGCCTGACTCGGGATCAGCTCATGCCACACTGCTTGAAACTACTCAGTTCAACAGGAATTCAAGGTGGCCTTGCAGAAGTCAGCTCAGCATCATGTTCTCTCTATGAAGGGTCTGGGCTCTGCAGGTTCACTCCTCCCACACACACACGAAAGGAAAGAGCAAGCAGGCAAGGCAGAACCTACCTGGTTCTCCATGGGCATCAATCTGGAGTACTAGGTCAGTGATGAGATCAAGATCAAGGACACATTCATCATCAGATTGCTGGATAAAATAGGATGACACATGCAGATAAATAAGCAGCAATCTAGCAGAGAGCAGAAAGGCACACAGCTTCCCAGAGCATCTTCTGGAGAGAACAAATGCCTGTACTTGGACAGTTTGCCCAAGACTAGGAGCCAGGAACCTCAGGAGCCTGGTTTTGGCTCCATCTGGAACCTGCGCTGGTCACAACTGCTGCCAGTTTTATCTGCTGTGCAGTGAGAATATACAGTCGCTCTCCCTTCTTCAGACTTGGAAGCTAACCAAGATTTGTGTACCTCTACTGAACAGTACCTAATAAGTAAAAAAATGAACATGAAATTCTGGGGGACAAAACTGTGCCATATGTACCTGGGACTTCAAAGCCACCAGGCACAGAGCAGCAGCTTTTAAATCCCTCAGTAATGTGGAACACACCTATTAGGCCAGCTTAAAGAGCACAGGTAAAAAATACCAGCCACAACAGAAAGATTGCCCTGAAGGCAATGGGACACCCTTGGCAAGTTTGCTGAGGAGACAAAACTGGGAAAAGTGGCTGATCTACCAGATGGTTGCTCATCCACAGGGAAGGACTGCTACTGGCTGCAGAAATGGGCTGACAGCTTCTAGTCCATCAGGCTGGACTAGATAAAGTCTAGAGGGCACTGCCAACCTCAATGATTCTGTGACTCCATGACCCACAGCTGAAGTGAGATTACCCACAGCAAAGAGTATGCATCTGGAGGGCATTTTCCAGAGGAACAGTAAGACTAGCTGCAGTCAGGGAATTCAGTCATACAGGTTGGTGAGCACTTAGGTAACAGACTGCTGGGAAGTCTTGGACCAGGCTTGCACAGAGCATGCAAACATTCAAAAACTGCATCTATGTATATACATAAGGAAGTACAATAAGCTGTTAGCTTACTCAAGCATGAACAATCTTCTCATTAAAGAGGGACAAGAGTAACTTAGGCCCAAATCTGAAGTCATCTTTATCCATAATCTAATCAAAATACTCTGGGATTCTACTAAGCTGACTTTACCTTATGAGGGTTGATGTGGAATTAAAGCTCAACAAACACTATCCAACAACCGCAGGGAAGAGGGAGCAGTTCCAAGCCCAAACCCTCCCCTGCTGACATGCCAGAAGTTGGTGCCTCACCCAAGGGAAACAGCTTAACCCACTCACCCACCTTGATCTCATAGTGCCGGTGTCGGTGCCGGCCCAGCTTGGCCAAGATCTCCTCCAAATAGTATTCCTTCACTGGGTACATGAAACCCGGCACCTTGACCACAGGGCAATCCCCAAAATAATGTGAGAAACGTTGATTGTCTCCTGTGGCACTCATTAAGACCAGGCGCAGGTCAGGGTTGAGCTTCTGGATGCCCTTTAGCAGGATGAGCAGGAAATCGGTGTTGACATCTCGCTCGTGGACCTCATCGACTACAACATGGCTGACACCCTCCAGGCTGGGGTTCCCCTGCAGCTTCCGCAGCAGGATGCCCACGGTGCAGAAAAGAAGAGCTCCTCCCCTGGCAGGTGGCTTGCTCTCCAGTCGCACCTGATAGCCCACATTCTTCCTCATATTGGGACCCAACTCTTGTGCCACACGCTGGGCAACTGAGATGGCACTGATCCTCCTTGGCTGAGTGATCACTACGTTGCAGCGGGCACCACGTCCCTCCAGGATGTAGTGTTCCAGCAGAAGCTGAGGGATCCTGGTGGTTTTCCCACAGCCTGTATCTCCTGCTATTACCACAACAGGGTTCTGCTCAATAGCCGACAGGATGGTGTCCTTGTGAGGATCTACTGGCAGCGGGTGGCTCTCCTGCCACGAGGATCCTCTCCTTTTCCAGAGGGCCAGGAGATTCTGGCTAAGGCGTACTTCTTCTGCTTCCAACATGGGTATGTATGTCTTCCCTGTGATTGCGTCACTTATGGCACCAGATTCCTTGCTCAGATTCATCATGTCATCTGCAATCCGGGGCCTGGATTCCCTGATGTCCACTGGATACTGGGAGAGACAGCGAAAGTTGTCAGCGACAAAAAGATTAGTACTGGTCCTGAGAAGAACCAAAAGGAACAAGTGCCTGGAACAGACTCAGCCAGACTGGCTTTGCAGTGATCATGAAGCTTTGCTAAAGTCTCGTCAGATTTTAGGTAACTCAGCCACTTACATTCTGAATTGAAGTTATTTAAAGTGAGAATTATCTTGAGCAGTTCCCTGCATTTTCCTCATCACATCCCCTATTTTAAGAGGGGTATTAGTGTTGATGCCTGAACTGACATGCACAAAACAGTAACTTAAGCTTTCCAAGCCAGTGGCTACACTGCAAGCAAGTGACTCAGTGGTCCCTCAAAGACAACTTTTGGAAACTATCAAGTTACACCACCACCCTTCTCTCCCTCAGGAAGCCCAGACACGTAACTTGAACAAAACGTAAGCGTTCAGCTAAGCCACAAATATTCTATCTTGGCAAAAGAAAAAACACAAGGCCCACATCCCACAGGAAGAACAAAAAGGAGCAACAATAGGTCACAAATTGTCAAGAACACAAATCAAAGCATTGGCCCACGTGTTTGCAGGATTAAAAGTTCAGCTACAAATGAGTACTTTTGGATTCAGCCTTACTCAGAGTCACAGAGCCCTCCCTTCCACGCACGGTGTGACAGCTCACATTCACGTAAGCATGGCAGACAGACTGACCTCCTTCAAAATGCTGCTGGTTTTCCAACATTTTTCACCCTTAGTTCAGTCACTTACAGCAGGTCATTCAGAAGCAGCTGCTGTCTTCATCAGAGTCTTGGCTTTTAGTGGATGACCTTTAGTGAATGTCCTAGAAAGGACATTCACTACTGCTTTGTTTACTTTACAGCATCTGTAAGATACTGTAAAGATCACCCAAGATCTTTACTGTTCACGCCCAAGAGTACCACATCAGTGACTTGCCAACTTCCAAACACCAGCAATATTGTCCATGACTTCAATAAGCTCCATGCATTTGCACCTGAGCTATGATCAACTGCATCTTACCTTAGCACCAACTCCTGCTTTGACAATGAATGCTCCCTAGGAACCATGTCTTGGCACTGCTTCAGCTCCTAGGGTGTCTGTTCACCACTGGTCCACCAGGAAGAGGGATCTCCTGGGTGGAAGCACCACCAGCTGCCTGGGGACCTACACCCACACCCACCACTAATGTACAACACTGTGAGAGATGCTCTCAAGGGGAATATGCTAGTATCAGTACCTGGTCCTTGTAAAGCTACAAGGCACAACAAAGGAGTTTAATGGAACCAATACTGGCACAAGGCAGCATTCATAAGCCTACAAAGGAGACCAAAACTGCACTCTGTAACGATCCAAAAGCTAAATAACGCTGTCAAACATCACAGATGCAATAGAGAAGGCCCACTGCCCAGAATGGGCCTCCCTTCCCCAATGGTCAGCAGAGACTGATAAGGTTTTGTGGCCATCTATCAAGCCATGAATTCCCTCAATGCTCTGACGTGAAGCTTTCAACCACATGCAATTCCTGAAGTTAAACAGGATCAGCCAAACGTGATCCTCAGATAGCTGAGCAGGCCTTACGTGATTCAGATAGTTCTCAATCTTGCGCAGGGTTGCCTCAGGGACTTTGATGTGGCAGGGTTTCCGCTGGTTCTCACCAAGCTCCCGCAGTGAAGTCATGTTGTACATAGCATGGCTGAGAGGGTTGTTGTTCTTGTCCACCAAGCCAAGGCTCTGAAAAGGAGGAGGCAGACAACGCTGTCAGGTACAAGACTGCTGCATACAAAGTGACGGTATATAGAGCATGTGGGTCCTACATGTTTAAATAAGCTCACTCCTTACCCTATATCCCAAACCCATCACTTCCTGCTTTAGCCATAGCAAGAAACAAAATATGATCTCATCTCAACTCCCCAGCGAAACAGACACAGTGGAGCCAACTGGTACCTGCTCCCCACACAATGCTTAAACAAAGGTCTTAAACAGACCCACCAAAGAAACAGCAGTCACAACTGTATCCGACAAAACCCTCTTGCAAGGGCTGTTAACTCTCTTGGTACGGTTCTGGTACGTTGTGCCAATTCAAAAGTAAGTCCTACACCATTTTCTTGGTCTTCCCCTCTGCTGACTCTAGAGTCTGCAGCAAAATGTTTGGATTAGTCTACCTACAAGAATGAGAAGATAGTCTGACTCAACAGACAGCAGCAAGGAAGCAATGAGAACAAGTTAACACTTCCAGGTGATCCCTACACATCACTTTCTGTTGAGGGCTCAAAACAAGCGTAACAGCCTTCACAGGTCAGACACTGAATGGGTACAACAGCAGCATGCCCTGAATCCTAATATTTGGAAATCCATGTTTATTAAACAAGAAGCCAAGGATCGGAAAGTTTCAGGCATCACCCCATTAGGCTAGAAAATGGAAGTCAGATGCAAGGAGCCTCTACTTACAGACCAGTTGGACGGTCTGCTCTACTCACAGACCATAGGATGTAGGAGCTATATGCACTTACCTTCAGCTTCTGACAGGCCAGTGCTGCTGCTTTGTTTTCTGCCTCCACCTTGCGACGGCCCTTGGCAGCAAAAGTCATGGGACAGGGCCAGCGGAGCGTGAGCTTGCAGATCTTGGTCTTGGTGCCTACTGTACGGAACTGCATGTATTCCTGAGAGACACATCAAGAACACAGATTTGGGGAGCTGTTAAGGGCCTTCTTAACTAGGCAGGCATTTCCAAATACACCCCAATATTTTTGGGCAGAGCTTAGTTTGTTGGGGTTTTTTCTTTGTTTGCTTTGATTATTTTTTTTAACAGTTCAGTAGAACAGGCTTACTGCACCCAATTGAACCCCTCAGCTCACAAGGCACTGGCTACACAGAAGTGAGAGCAGGCAGCTGTGTGGAGAACATCACTGAAAGCCTATGGGGTGGAGCACAGCTACTGTTTGCTAAGCACATGAGGTCTGGAAAGGAGGTGATCACTGGATACTGGCAAGAATTGAGTTGTGGAAAGATTCCATCAGCACAGAAATTACGCATTGCTCTAAGTAACCAAACTTGTGTTTTTTGCAGATACATGGGGAAATGCAAACCTATCACCTTCAAAAATATTCTCTTTCATTCAGACAGCCACTCCTCTATTGCCCTGGCCTCAGGTAACAACAGTCCTCATGTTTCTATTAAAATGTTCCCCCAATTCTCACCACAAAGTCTTTTCCTTGCTCTTGAGGCTTATTTTTCTAAATCTATTTTTGATTTCCCTTTTCTCCCCAGTTCTAAACTGCCCCCCAAAAGCATCCAAAGAGACTCCGGTTGGAGTCTTTGAGCTTCATCCCTGACAGAAGTCAAACAGCACCTTACCTTGACTGTGGAGGAAGAGGTTGCAATCTGAATCACTTGGGCAAGGAGATTTTTGGGAAGTGGGAACTGCGTCAGGGCACGGATGGCAGTGTTGTCATCTGTCATTTCAATGGAACTCCCTCCTCGGCTAGACAGAAGATGAGAACAGTTGATATACAAATACCTGCTCTGTGCTCAGGCCTACCTCACTTTAAGTCTCCTACTGAGGTCCTGAAACTAAGTAGTAAAGGCACAGATAAGTTTTGGTCATGTGAAAAGTCAAGCTGTATATTGCTACTAAAATCTGTCAGTCATGGAACAATCACCCAGCCCAGCAATGCTACCTACTAAAAAGCAATCAAACCTCTACACTAACGCTGCAAACCAGACAGCATCAACAGCTTTTAACAGCTTTAATAAATAATTCTGAATACAGAGTGTCTCTAAAACCAACCCCTACCATCAAGTCCTTAGGGATCTTACTCCTGTTGACTATTAAAAATCCAAAATTTGTGCTCATAAAATATGAAGACAAGCAAGCAACCACAGTGATGAAAAGGAGCAGATTTAATACTGCCCTCAAAACCAGGGTGGTCAAAAAAGGTCTAAGTGCACAATTTCTGGGAATGGAAATCATTTTAGGCCCAGAAGTGTCAGGCAGGCAGGTAGTAAGTAGGCAGTAGTCTACTCAAAGGGTAAGACCCCAGAGAAGCAGCCTGCACATCCCCTTGTGAGGATGCCAGGCATGAGAACAGACTGCCCTGCTACTGCTCGCATAGGAATGGTGCAGCAGCCAGTATTCAGCCCCTCTACAGACCTCATCAGCAACGTGGGAAGCTGCAGCTCAACTATGTTGAACTGCAGGGGTGCACAAGCTACCAAAGCCTCTCATTTACTACCTTGGCTTAGGAGCTATCAGGGCAGACATACCTTGCATCTCTGCCCGGGGTTCGAGCATCTGGATGTGCCATAGGTAGATAATCAGAAACATCGATTGCTTCTTCTTCCAGCTCTCCTTCCTCCAGTTCCCCTTCCTCTAGCTCCCCTTCCTCCAGCTCTTCTCTTCTCATTGCTTTAGGCATCCTGCCCTGTTCCATGGGCTGGATGGAATCATCTGGTTCCATCCGTCGCCAGCAGGTTGACAAGTCGGCAAGAGATGGTCCAGACTTGGAACGCCACTTGCCCTCTGAGCACCACCTCTCATCGGGACAGCCAAGCTGGTCAGCAAGGAGACGGTACTTTGCAGCATCGAAGAGCTCATTTCTGGGCCCCAGCAAACCCCAACCCTGCAACAGAGAAATGCAATCATTGTTAGCTGCAGTAGAGAGGGAAGTGTTGAAGGCCAGGTTGGACGGAGTTCGGAGCAATCTGGTCTAGTGGAAGGTGCCCCTGCCTGGGGCAGTGGGGTTGGAACTGGATGGTCTTTAAGGTCCATTCCAATCCAAACTACTCTGTTATTCTATGAACTGCATGAAAACAAAACACATCTGGTAAGGGAGAGAAATACAGGAGCAACTCCTTCACATCCCACACAAAAAGGGAAAGAAAAAGGACTTTCAGAAACTGCAGGGGTGCACAAGCTACCAAAGCCTCTCATTTACTACCTTGGCTTAGTAGCTATCAGGGCAGACATACCTTGCATCTCTGCCCAGGGTTCGAGCATCTGGATTAAAGCTTTTCTCCTCCCATTATTTCTTAAGAAAGGGAATCTGTTCACTAACCTCACTTCCCAGGGCACAATTGCTTAGCATCACGTGGCTTGTTACAAAGGGTGGGCCAAGATTTATCAGTATTTTACTATCAACTATATTTAGCATACTGAGGTTTTGAAACCTACCTTGGAGTATGAAACGCATCTCTCTTTGGAAAACCTAGTCTAAACAAGCATAACCTGGGATGACACAAGATGAGGATTCAGGGAATGGTTCATCTCTTTTCATTTTACAAGAAAAGTTACTTGTATAAGCAGTAGTAAGACCTCCCTAACCTAGTGGCTGTTGAAACAGAATAGTTCCTAATCACTGCTGGCCTACCACCCGCATTTAGGACTAAACCATACATGAAGCTCCAAACATACCTAAAGTGCCACACACACCATGTTTTACCAGACCACTGCAATAAATGAGAAGTTACATCTTTAGGCCTCTCAATGGCCATGTATTAGACAAGACTGCATTCTTTCATGCTGTAGGAGTGCCTAAGACAGCAAGAATTCACTTTGCCAGCTGCTGTACTCAAAGCCAATACATTCAGACACCCTCTGCACCGATTAGGCACTACCACTTTTCTTGAACTGATGACTATTTATTTAAAGCATCTGTAACTATTTCTGTAGCTTCCCATCATGAGTGTCTTCTGTTAGGTTACAGGGTTAGCTGGCAAAGCACCAGAGTTTAAGCTTTGTATGCTGGATCTGTGGTTTCAGAGTGCTGAGGTTTTTAAGTTCTAAACTGAAGTACAGTTTGGCCATTTCCAAAATCTGGGGAAAAACATAGTGTAAGCGTAGGTAGGAATTTTTTTCCTTTGAAAACCTGCAGGCTCTCAAAGAAATTAGGAAACAATGCTTTTGTTGCACGCTGACTAGTGAGGCTGAAGCAAGAATGTATTTCCAGTGAATGAGCACCAACTATGCTTTAGGTGGAATTAAGTCAGTCAGTGAAACAAGTTTTACTACACCACAAAATTAAAGAAACCAGCCTAGAAACAGGGGCCACCTGAAGAAAGTTTCATGATACAATTCTTAACTTCTCAAGGCTAGCTACTTCTTAATGTAGCCTTCTTGACCTACGAGCAAATCAAAAAGCTCTCTTACTGTTAGAGCATCTACAGCATCTTTTCTAAGCTCTATAGTAGGAAGATATCATTGTTCTTACTACATACATGAAAAGGAAACTCCAAAGCAAACTCACTTGCTCGAGGTTAGAGACAACAGTCAGTCGCAGAGCTGAAGACAAAATTGCATCTTATTCTCAGCTATGTAACACAATCTTCAATGTGACATTTATAACTCTACTGTAATTGTTTGATATTGGCAGTACACAAATATCAACCACTTCCAGCCATAAAATAGTGGCAGGGGGGGTAGCATAAGTTTAAAAGAGTAATCATAAAACAGAACATGTGATCACCACACTATGGCTTACATGAAGAGAAAACAAGAGCCTCCAAGTACTACACTTGCAAACACACATGGGTAGGCTGACAAAGTGTAAGTTAGTAAACGGTAACAGCAAATATACCCAAGGGAAGCTCTACTCGCCACAGATACTGAGGCTAAGATAAAAGCTGATTATAATCTAGGGCATAAGGAACAAAGGTTAGAACTCAAATAATTTAGTAAGTTCACACCTGGATGAAGCAAGTGGGCTTTTAAGCTCAAATGGATTCAGAGAGCCCAAGACTTCACCCTCTGCCCTTGATTAACAGATAGGCTGATTAAGAAAGGAAACAGGCAAAAAGAGAGAAAAGTCAGAAATCACCAAAATAGATGAGGCCTGCACACTCAAAGGCCTGTTTGTTCAAGATAAAGAGGAGCACAAACTCACCTTGAAGAGCTGACATGCTGCAGCTGCTGCCTGCCTCTCGGCATCGATCTTCTTGGTCCCATAGCCTTCCACTTCCACATTCTTAGGCCACTTTATATGCAGAGTGACTTTCTGAAAAGCAAATATAAGCCGTAAAGCAAGACAGCAGAGAATAATCTCTCTCCTCCAGCAGGAGCATACCTATTTCAAATATCTCTGAACTCTGGGCAAAGAAGAGAACTACAAGTGAAAAATCCCAAACAAACCACTTGTGTAGTCACTTTTACGCGAAGCTCCATTCCACTCTTATAGAAAGAAGAGCCTGAAAAAGGGACAGGAGTTGCCTGCAGTCACACAGAAGCTGCAGGGCTGAGCCAGACCCAGAAGCCAGGCTGACTACCGGCACAGTGCCACATACTCCGGGCCGGAGCTTCGCAGGCTGCAATGTGGCAGCTCATAGGAATCAAATGCCAAGAGCTCATTACAAGAACAATTCAGATTCAGTTAACTGTTCCTATGTACACTGCAGCACACCAGACCATGCCTGAGAAGCACCATTCGCTCTCCAACACATTTCCAGTTGTACTGGCAAGCAAATCTTCCTAACTGCTTCTTTACTCTAATTTTAACCAGCAGCATATTGTACCACAGTTACATAGGCTACCATACTCATTGGGCACATGAGAACCCAGCCTGCAGTACATACTGGCCAACACAAGCTATTAAGAGAACTAACAGTACCACCAGAGCTCCTCTTATACCAGTGCAGTTGGATGAGAGCAGCTGAAAAACCTGCAGAGGCAAAGAATGCTGACAGCTGAACCCTGTCCTTTTAAAAAAAAATGCTCCAGATCAAGAACTCGTTCTACTTCTGGCCCTGCAGATACTGTAGCTGAGTTTCTACAAGGCTCAAAGGAGGGAAATGCCTAAGGAATTCTCTCCTGTTTCTGCAGCAAAGATGAAAGGTGGCATTTCAGTCCGCTGGGAAAACCCCACCTATAAGGCTAGAGAAAAGGCTCCTGACTTTTCAACAGTCTACAGCTGGCTGGCTGCCTGCCTGCCATCTGAATCTCATCTTGCTGTAGGAAATTGCTGCGTACTTTGCCTAGGGGCTCAGCATGAAAAGGCACAGACCTGATGAGAAAAAAGTTGTCTCATAAAGGCCAAGTTACTTGGTGCTCATGAAAAAACCTTGTTTGCTTCCAACTGAGACTTCTCCAGGTTGTCTCACCCATCCTTCCACTCCCAGACACTTTCTGGGTTGAGTTTTGGTTATGGTTTTCTGTTGGTCTTTTTTTGTCATTTAATCCTCATTTTTTCCAAGAGTTCCTTTTTTTGTTGTTGTTGTTTTTAATCTGACGTTATCCTCAACGTTAATCTATTTAAGCGCTAACAAGAATGTGAACTGATTACACAAACTAAAATGATGAAGCATCGGTTATGGTATTCCAAAATTTAAGTTAGGAAACTGCACTACTGCTTAAGGAAGAAGCAAGAAAAAACAACCCACAAATAATAATGGAACTCTAAAGTAATTATTACTTATGTATTGCTTAAAATGCAGGGATGCTTAAAAAGGATGTGGTAATAAAAACTGTCAGGGAAATTTTACACAGAACGTTGTCGGAAAATGTTAATCCATCAGAACTGAATCTTTTCCTGGAATGTATGTCACAGTTAAACTTCAGCTGGAAAGTGCTCTCAGCAATAGAAGGAGAGCTGGTATGATAAAAGAAGGCAAGGCCTTGAACAGAGAGCACCCATCAGTTAAGAACTGCTCAGTTTATAGCAGAAGCTTATAGCAGTTTTGGATCTGGGCCTCTTGCATCCCAGTGAGAGCTCAAAGCACTTGGCAAACTGTTTGCTTGGAACTCCTCTGCTTCATTTCACACACACAGCAAAAAAAAAAAAAAAAAATTCTGTTATTTCATTTTGCCCTTAAGTAGGATTAGAAGCCTCCCTTCACTGCAAACAAATTCTTCTCTGCTGATTGCAACTTAATAACGTAGGCTTAGGCATTTGTTTTATTAGAATCTACAATAAAATCCAGGCCTACTAAGGTCTAAAGTAGAGCATTTAAATTTTTATTTTCCAAGATAGTTGAATACACATCTGATTGCAGTATATGTGTCTCTGCTGAGAAAAGCTGGTTCCAGCCAGCTACTTAAACGAAAAAAAAAAAAAAATTCACCTTTACACACACAAAAGGAGGACAGCACCTGTGTTTATATATACCTACTAAAGTATGTGGGGGGAAAAAAAAAAAAAAAGAGGAACAGGAAGACGTGAGAATATTTCTTGTTTGAAAATCGCACAACTGGTACTAAAACACTTCTATAATTTTCTCTACTAGAGTTCCTTCCTGGACTTAGCAGCTTTCTTGGCTCACTTCCCACTCCATGTGCCACACACCTACCCACTGCCCATCCCAGCACAACAGGATTACCTTTTTTCTTGGCCCATTGGTGTGGATGTACACCAGCTTGTCCCTCGCATGAGAAATGCCCAGGGCTCGTCCAATCACGCTGTTGAGCAAGTTTTTAGGCTGTGGAAATTCCTTTAATAAGTCTCTGGAGTCTAAAAGAAAAAAAACAACAGAGGAACTAAATGTCTTAGAATTCTTGTGCAGTCCTGTTCAGAAACGTGTTCTGACACCTGCTTCACTGCAGCTCTGTGAGCATTCATGTCTCTGAGGTTACAGAAGAAAAGTAAGCAGAGGTATTAAGTGGTTCACCTAAAATGTCTCCAGGTATCAGCAAAACGGCACACAGGAGTGCAAAGTCTCCTGAGCTCCAAATGGAAGATGACACTGCAAATCCAAAATGGGCAGCAATACCATATGTCCCATTCTTCTCCCAAAATGCACAGACTGTTTCTCCCCCTCCTCTTTTAAAAGTATGGATATCCTCTACTTAGAACTGGAGCACTGACAGACTCACTCCATGATTCAGTGCCACTAACAATCACCTAACAGTTTGGAAAGACTTTTTTCCCAAAAAAAGAACATAGTATCAACAGGAAAAAAACCCAACAGACTACATATTGAATCTTAATACAAATATCCTAGCACAGAATTCAAAGCCCAAATTAATGCATGGAGTTGGTGCTGTTTCCTCACTTACGGAGGCAAAAGCAGCTCTGTGTCATTCTTTGGTATTGAAAAGAAACTTAGCAATAACTATTTTGATCAGACTTTGGTACTTGCATCCCCCTCCTGAACCATGTGTATCACCTCAGGGTTAAATCAAGGGTCATAACACACAAGTTACTACTAGTGGCTGGATCTAGTATATAACATGAAATAACGCTTGGAGGCTTCTCCCTGAATTGATTGTGAAGGCTTGATGAGAGGCTGGGAACGCGGTTTTGCACTCACTGCTCAGAGAACCCCCTGGAAGAAGTTTGCCAACAATCTTCAGAGATAAGCCAGCCCAAGCAGGAAACTAAGGAGCAGTGCCAGAGGCAGCAGGTATTGATGGCAGCACAGGTCCCCTGCCTGGTGCATGAGACTATGGCACTTGCAGGAAGGGAATATTAGTGATCAGTTCAACTCACTCATTTAAAAGTAATAACAATAATAAAAATCAGACCGTCCCCAGGCAGAGCAATGTCTCACCCTCCTCATGTTCCAGCCTCCTCCCTGGTGCCAACACCAGCAGCTTTACCACGACACTGGTGAGGAAGCTGCTCTAACACAACCCTCACATGCATTCCTGTTGCACCCAGAACTATAGGGAAGAGCCTTTATTTGAGCAGCAGCCCAAGCAAGATCAGATTAAGTTTAATGTGATAACAATTCCAGAGGAAGTTACTCTACACAAACGGGCAGATCCAACAGCTCGCTGCTGCTGTGAGGGGTAGATACTGCTTCTCCCAGGCTCTGGCACTACCACTGCTCCAGCTCTGGCACAAACCCAAACATACTGGGAGGTGATTAGCAACCCTGGTCTGACAGAAAGCTAAACCAGAAAAATTAATTACTCAGGATTTTACTAGGCTTGCAAGTAAATCAGCCGAGTGCACAGTCCTGCAGGTACCCAAAAGCAGTGCAAGGGAACAGGGAAGAGGAATGGGATCTCCATTCCAGCAGCACAGCCAAGCCCCTCTCACCCTATGTTCAGCATGCAAAACGCATGCTCCCCAGGCAGTTAGAACTTCATTGATCCTGCAGGCCACCAGTGGGTTTGAGCACTACTTTTTACAAGCTTCTAAATCTCTGTGGGTATTCAGGGGAAGCTGAATCATAAGTCAACAACACACTATCACTGGTACTGCCAGAATCTGGAATTTCAGATTAAGCTGTGAACTCCAAGGAGTAATGACCCAACAGTCACACTCACAAGAGCATCACTAAGATCTGCCATCCTGTTTTGCCAAAAACTCCAACTGCAGAGTTGCTATAACGAAGATACACAGTAACCAGCTCCCAAGAAGAAAGCAAGCACTTAAAGAAAGGCTCAGTAACACAGGCAGGTGAAACAGACACTCACCAAGAAGCTACTCAGTGAGGGCAAACTGTAGTTACAAATATATATTATAAGGGCTCACCTAAAAGCTGAACGAAGGAGAAATCACAGGTTTTTCAGGGAAAGCAGAAGAGTTATATTGTACCACTGCAGGCCCAACTCTTGTCTGACTATGTTGGGTAAGGGAGAGAAAAGAACAAAAAAAAAAAAAGGAAAGAAAAAGCATGTTGCTGATCATATCTTCCTCTCCAGAAAAAAAAAAAAAAAAAACCAACAACAAACCAAACAAAAAAAAAAAAAAAAAAAAAAAAAAACAACCACAAACATAAACAAAACACCCCAGCATGCTGATCCAGAGCTCAGAAAAAAAGTAATTACTGGTCACGTCCAGTTTTGAACCTTCTTCCTCCAAACTACCTGAATCTCAGAGAAACCACTTTCAGAAGCCAAATGGACCAGATACAGAAGGAATTTGGGTTCCTTAACACATACAGGGAGATGCTGAAATACAACCTCTGTGGCGAGCGATAAGGTTGCCGGGGGCTGGGTATCATTTGAAGACAGGTCGCCTTGTAATTCGACAATTGGCTAATTCTGACTCCCAGCTGGAACGGCCTTAAGTTGGCATTACTTCTCAACCAAGTCCATAGAGGACAAGCTGGTATTTAGAGGGCAGCATCAAAATGAACAGATTAAACATGCTGCCTGCTGAAACTCCTTTGACTGTATTGATATTGAAAAGACTGTGCAACACACAATGGGCTTTCTGCGTCTCTGTGATGCTCAGCCACGGTATCTCCCATTATAAAGAATAATACAAACAACCCACCGGCTGCTGTTTCTCATGCATACTTGGGCAAAATCCTTGGACAATTACAGGGAATAGGCAGGAAGTACTCTGATTTCTGAATGCTGTTTGTCCATGAATTACCTTCTATGCATTGGCCAGGAAAGCATGAAAACGGTCTCAGCCTAACAAAGAACTACAAGCCAATTTTCTGTAATTACACAGCAAATGTAGTATTCCTACCTACTCACACAGCAAGCACCACTATATTCAGACTTTGACCTGCTCAGGAGAACTGGAAAAGTGACTAAGGCTTTGGCAGTCTGCAGTTTTATTCCGTTCTACATCGCTGGGATGCATGGAGAGAGTAGTAGTAACACAATTCCCAAATGCACTATTAAATTCACTTAATAAATGAGAAATAAAAGGGGGGGGGGGGAGAAAAGAAAAAAAAGCAACACACAAAGCCCTCTAACACCAGCCTCTATTATTTGGCCTCTAGCTGCTTCCTCTTTCAAAAACAATAACCTGAGAAATTCTACAGTAAGTAACAGGCAGAGGTATAAGCGCATTCTTTTTAAACACCCTCCGAAAAGTAAAACACAGTTACCTAACAACAGAGCCAATTTCTCACATTCTGAGGTGACTCCTCAGTGAAGACTAAATATTTAATCCATTCTGGAGCAAAGAATAGGCTCTCTAAGTAACAAAGCCTAGTTCTGGCTTGCAGATCAGACTCTGAATTACCAGCAGAGACACAATGTCTTCACAGCTGACAATGCCATATTCAGCAGTACCATCTGACGTATCAACAGCGACTCAAGGCTTGATGGATTACTCTCAGCCCATTCTTATCCCCAATTTGAGAGCTGAAAAGATCTTATCTTGCATGAAGCTGTGCCTCACTCATAGTTTTTAAAGAAACAATCTGAAATTGCAGAACTGGATTTGCAGAATGTCTCCCTCCCTGACAGATTGGATTTCTTGGCATCTTCCTCCAAAGAGTGTCTTAGTTCTCTCACTGCTGAGAATGGATATTTGGGTAGAAATCATTTTAGTGGTAGTCACAGCCCTGCAGAGGCAAGGAGGAGAACCTAATACTCCCAAAACAAAACAGTTTATTTTTATATCCAATTCCTATCAAGCCAGAACCACATACGATGTCCAAACCACAGCTCCAACATCATGAAGGAATATTAAAAGCCTGTCTCAGATCACAGGTAACTCAGGGTGGGGTTATCAAAGAAGCCAATTAACTCACTGAAGTTCCTCAAAGCCAATGAGTGCTTTGGCTTAATTTGGTTGTGAAAGCCCAGAGTAATTCCAAGCACCACTGACAGAAAAAAAAAAAAAAAAACCAACCAAAATTAAAATCAAACAACTCCCAGATGTAGCTATTAATCCCATCAGAACTGACAAAAAGTAAAGATAAGATTTGACAAACAGTAAAGACACCTGTTAGGTGCGACAACAGCACATAAAATGGCCCAAAGTCTTGCTCAAGGAAACCAGAGGAGCATTAGATGGATTTAAACAGTTTCCATCTTCCCTCAAATTCTCTTCCCTGGAGAAGCAACAAACAAGCAGCAACAACAAACTATTAAACACACCAATCATCAAGATATAAGCCCCCGCAGTAATAAATTCAAGTCAGTGAAGAATGCTCCTAACACATCAGAAATTTGCAGGGACGAAGAAAGCCCTGTGGCTCTGTAATATCCATTTCATAAGGAATTAGCCTAGACACGTCTTAGCAGGGAGAGAGAAGGTTCCACCTGGCAATTTAGCTTGGAGTACACCAAAATAGTATTGCTTTTCCGGGGCTTGGGGCTCTTTTAAACCATCGTCTAGGATCCTGACCAAGGCTCTTTTCAAGCTACAGAGCAATAAAATCTGCATGCAGTTCTTGCTAAACAAGAACAAACTTCAAACTTGGTAGAACTGACAAGGCTTCTCCAAAAGCAAGTGAGATAATCAGAGAACCAGAATGATCGATGGCCAACCTCCATCCACAGTTGGACCGACAGTCAACGTCCATTCACCGAGGACTCAACTGGACATAGCCCTGATCAACTCACTTTGAGACAGGGATCAAACCACACGGCACCCAGAGCTTCAGTCCAACCTCAATTCTTCTGTGATACTATGAGACAGCAAACTGAATTAGTTTTTCTTAGAACAAAACAGAGGTCAAGATTGCATAAGTCTTAGTAACAAGCAAGAAGTGCCACAGACCTGG